TGTGTATTTTGTTGTGCAGCACTGAATACCATAACATGGTGTATTGCTGCCCCATATGACAGCAGAAAACACAATAAACCCCCTTAATGAGAAATCTTACTTAGTTTCACTCTTGCCTTCCTACCTGTGCTCACCTGGTTTTGTTTTTCACAGCACTCTTTTTCTTATGGGACCAATGAAACAACTGAAAAGGATGTTTGAGCCTACACGTCTGATTGCTACTATTGTTATGCTAGTAAGTATCAAATAAGTCAGTTTTAGCTCGTGCTAACTTCTAAACAATTTCCTTTGTAAAGGTTTTCTTCATAGACGTTGATCTAACTACCTCCTACCATCTGCTTGTGGGTTTTTTCGTTTGTTGGGATTTTTTTGTTCTTAAAACATCAAGCATCCTGCATCTCTGCTGTAGTGGAAAGGCAGATGTAGCAACAGCAAATGCTGAGCTGGAGCCAGGTTGTTATGTTAAATGAGCATTAAGGGTCTGTGGCTGGTGTGTGTGAACCACACGCACGCTTTCTTAGCTTGCTTGAACTCACATCATCTTTTCCTGTTGCTTAAAAGGTGAAAGATGGAAAACTTGTTTTAAAAAAGTTGCACTATTCAAGTTGTTAGACATTCAATTTTGCATATTTTTTGCTTTTTATATTCTATCTGATTTGCTTTAAAGACCTGTGTAAGCATTTATACCGTGATAAAAATAATCATTTTCTGACAAAGCAACTGGGGAATCTATGCATTGGTCATCCTCCATTAAAAATACAGAAGTCATCCCAGTTGGCTGATAGCTTCAGGTTTTGAAAACTGGAATTAGTTTTATCTTCAGAAGTTGGGAATTGTGGCTAACCTTCTTCTAGGGGGAGGAGGAGGTGTGAAAATTGCTGCTGAGTTTCAGACTCTTCCTGGTGTAAAGTGCATGTCCTTTTTTGTCTCTTCAACAGTACCCTTTTCCCTTGGAGAGTATAAAATCTGGGAAGTGGTTAAACTTGCATGAAGCTGACCTCCCATTTTCAATTTGAATGTCTTGAGAGTGTTTGTTTGGCATTCTTCCTATTTTATCTTTAAACATCCAGAGAGGCAACTGATAGAGTTTGAGAATTTAACAGTGTATGCTCTCAGAGCAGCAACAGGCAAGAAACCTACTGTGGTGTGTTTGTTTTCTATGTATTTAGGATGCCTGGAGCCAGGAGAATGCTTGGAATGTGATTCACTGGAATAAAGCCAGTTAGATGTATGATGCAGTATTTAAACCAGCATACAAATCACCACCTTAAAACTAGTGGAAAAATTACATTTCATATCAATAATCATGATTGAAGTGAAATGTATGTTTTCTTTGGTGATGCATGTGTTGCTGTCTTGAATATGCAGTACTAAATGTCCCTTTTTTTAAGTCAAGCAGAAAAATGCACATTATAATCTCTAGTAGCACAATGGCACATGTATATCAAAAAGCTGTTAGATGTTGATGAAAGCAGATCAAATAACAGCATCCAAAACAGCTAAATAAGCTGTTGTGTCTAAAATTGAAAGGGAAATCTTGAACTAAAAGGAGGCCCCTGTTAAAAGTGGGTATGTAAAAAATGGCCTACTACCACACAAGATTTTAACTGTAGTAACACAGTTAGTGTAGTAGTTTGTTACTGTAGTACTGCAGTTACAGCAACTCTGAAAAAACAGACAAACTGCTGGGTTAAATGGCTGTGCTGGACTTCATATGAAACAGGAGAGCTGCTTAGCAGTAGCCTGAAGTTCTTAAAAGTGTGTTGTGGTTTTAATTGGTAAGAAGCAATGATGTAACTTCCACCCCATTGTAACCTTGAGAATCAACAGGTAATGTGGCATGTACAGAAGCAGAAAGATTGAAGTGGTAACTGGAAAGTCTTAACTTATGTAAAATTACGAGGTGTGGTGTAAACCTGTGACACCAGGAGGTGTGTGCATGAAGTAGGAACATGCTGATGTTGCAAAAAAATGCTATAGGAGACTCTTCCTTTACTGCCATTAGATTATTTTCTGGAGATCTCTGGCTGATGGTTCCTCATGGCTTTTACTCACTTCAGAAATCGAATAGCGAGAGCATTTTAAGTAAGAGGAACTCTTATGCAGGATTGGATAAAACTATGAAATTATGTAATCTGTCTCTGTCAAGGAACCCATTAGGATGTTACAATATCTATAAAAACTGGAGTTGTTTCTGTGTTTAATAGGAATTGTTTGTTTTCTTCTAGTTGTGTCTCATACTAACACTGTGTTCTGCTTTCTGGGTGAGTACTCATGTCCTTTATGTGTATATAACTGGAGTATACTTCAAAAATAAGATGCTTTACACTGTTGTCTCATGATATGTTATGTTCCCCTCTGGCCCCTTCTCTCTTCCTCCAGTGGCGTAAGGAAGGACTCGCTCTGCTTTTCTGCATTTTACAGTTTTTTGCCTTGGCATGGTAAGTGATTCCATCCCCACACACTCCATTTTCTGTGGTACCTATAACATCAGCAGCTGAGTTGTGAGTGGATTTTGATGTTGCATGAGTTAAAGGAAAGGAGATTTTTTTGCCTTGCCGTTTGCCTAAATGCAAGACAGTGCATCACTGAGGAGCTGACTTGTTCCTGCTTCACGATCTCTCACCAGTTCAAAGGCTCTGGAGATGAAACTCGTTTCTGTGAGAAGTTCTTCTGAACATGTTTCATTTCTGTGAGCTTGAAGTCAAACTGCTTTTCTTTCCCTTTTAAATTGATTTGTTGTTTACTGTCTGATATTCCTCTTTTACACTCTCTTGAATTTGTCTTGTTAAAAGATCCAGATGTGCAATAGAATTGTCAGCATTCTTTAAGTTACCATATGTTCTATGTTATGTCCCAGAAGTAGAAAAGAAACTGATAGGAACATCTAGCCAGCCCTCAGGACTGATCTCACATGCCTGTGGGTGTTGGGGCATGAAGAGTATTGGATGCAGGAGAATTGTGCCTAAAATGCTTCTACAATATGCCCCCTGATTTTGCCATAGTGTTTCACAACCTGGCTGGGCTAAGATGACTTGCAAGGATACTTATTGCTGTTGCTCGCAAGGTCAAGGCTTCATTTTGGTTGCATATCTTGCAGTTACCTATGCAGAGCAACAGAGGGGTTATTCGTCTTGTTTGTGACTCTAATATAACCTGACACAAAAAGTAACTTTTACATGTTTCTTCTTAGGTACAGCATTTCCTTCATACCATATGCAAGGTAAGCTTCCCTGCTCCCTTATCTTTGTCATCTTGAGGTTTAATGATAAAAGATTAGCTTATAGAGGCATTGTAATGTATGCTTTAGAAGTTCTTCCATGGTGGTGTTTTAGGGGAAGAAAATACACATAGTTAAACCTGATAAGGAAACTAAGCATCTTCTCTAATGGAAGAACACAAATGTTAGAAAATGAGAGGGCTTCCTATAAAAATAGGTAAGATGCAGACCACACACTAAACTTAAGTCTGGCCTTTGGAATGCTGCCTAAGTGTTGGTCCAAAATGCTGCTACACAACTGTATTTTTCTGAGTTCATTCTTTTCCTGTTCCTTGCCAGGAGCACTGTTCCATGTTTGAGTACACAGTTCTCTATCCTGCTCCATCAGCCCCCCTCTTTCTCAGTGCACCCTGTCAATCCAGACCTATAGGTGTCATTTCCACTGGAGCTAGAGGGTGAGCAGGCCCCCTTGTCTCTAATGCATTCATATAGGCATGCCAATTACATAAGCACAGCTAGCATGTGGTCAGATGATCTTTAAAGTCCTCCATGTCAGTGTGATAACAGCACAGAATGAGTCCCTTCAACCAAGGCAACTGAAGTGATACTGTTTTTTTTCTCTCTCTCCTGCCTGTAGGGATGCTGTGAAGAAATGTGTTTCGGTCTGTCTGACCTAACAGGAATACTGGATGCTTCATGAAGTTCTAGGAAGTGTAGTAGAAATGTGTTATGATCACTGTGTATGTATTTTCCTACATCTGTCTTAAACACGTGCCTTTCAGCTTGTTGTTAGAAGCTCCTTGTGTTAAATCCAGTGTATGCAATTGCTTGATTTTGGAAGCAATTGGTTTTTGGTATCTGTAGGACAAGGTGCTCATGATGAAATGAAGTTCAGTCTGGCAGAAGAGCTGGGCAGAGATCTGAAGTTGGCTATGATAATTCCAACGTAAAATAATATTTTAATTTTTTTTTTCAAAATTAACAAAGTAATGTGTGAAGGCTGTAAAAAATTGAGAACTCAGTTCTGATGGGACTGTGCTAGTCTAGAGGATTTGTTTTTTTTAAGAAAAAGAAATCAATTGCCAAATGATTTCTTACTGAGAACTTGTTTGGTTGTTTTTTTTTAAAATAGCCTTAATCTTTTCACTGTTTGCCTTGGATAAGGGAGTATTGGTGTTCTTTATTTTCTTGCCCCTGTTGCAAAATTTGAGGTTTATGAGACTTCTACAAGATTTAATTCCAAATGAAAATACTGTTTTGGACTAAGTATAAAATGGTTGCATTTTTAATGTTTTTGGTTTGGATGGATGGTGTTGCCTTAAAATACACAGAAGTGACATTTTTATCTGTAAAACATTCCCACAGGAAAAGCACTTGCAAAATAAGGTTAATAGAATTTTTCAGCTGCCAAGACCCTTAGTTTTTTGCCTTTCCTGCAGATAATAGCAATGCATACAAGGTAGGAAACCAAAATTTTTTGCATGAAGCAAGGTGCCTCTTATCCAGCTGTAGTGTAGGAGTTGAGGGCATGATAGGTAAACAAAGAGATTTTATTTGTTCTTTTTTAAAGGACAAATTGTTGATAAGGTGAAATTGGGCTATTGTTTAAGCAGTCTGGAGCAGGGAGAAGACTTTTTCTTCTGAATTTGTAAATAAGTTAAATCTAAATTATTATTATTTTTGAAGTAGGATCAGTTCTGTTTCACCTAAAGCTCTTGTGTACACTAGTGAACTACTTCTTTGAGGAGAAAGTATAATTTTCTATTGCCTGTCTTAGCAAAGAAAGTGTGTAACAATCTGTATCTGCCAGACAAACAAATACTGAACAGTCAGTATCCAAATTCCAAGGCCTCTCGACATGATCTTCTGAGCTATGTATAATCATTTACTCCCCAAACCACTGCAGTGGTTAGGTGTTTAATATT